ACAACTCTATTCTACAACTCTATTCTACAACCCTCCCTTTCTATTTAACAACCGTGACCCCTACGTAAGCAGACAAACCGAACCTCCCAACACGGCTAAGTTGAACAACTCAACCATGCCACACGGCAAAGTGTTAGGATACCCTCGGGAGAACTTTCGGCGGGACATGATCTTGCCAGCTCAACTTTCGGACTTACAATTTGTGCTGGTACTTTCAGACTTACACCTGCTCGTACATTTACCGCGAGTACCTCTGGTGATTTGTTGTAGCTAATGAACGTGTTTGATATTCACAATGAATGCGGATCGTTTGTGCAGTGGATTTGCAGCGTCCTTGCAGCGTCCTTGATCTAAGGAAATAATCATTAATGCCGACAATGAAGCAATGAATTTGCAGCAAGATTCCCTGGCTCCGGTTTAAGGATAGATGGGCACAGATACTTTCCAGCCGCGCGTTTTCAACTGAACGTTGCTTACTTGCTTTTTAAGAGCGCGCAAAGAAGTCTTGACTTCGAATTGACTTCGAAGGAGTAGTTCCTGGGGGGTGGCGGTGTGATGGGAACATTCTGCCGATTTGCCCCGAAATGTGCCGAGGCGTCTCCAACGAGCCAGTTCGTTCAGTTTCTTGAATCCGGTGGGGTTGTTGAATAGAACAAAGTATTTCAATCAAAAAAACATGGGGTTGTAAAAAAGAACATTGATCCAACAACCCGGGTTGTTTTTAACAACGGGGGTTGTTAAATAGAATTGTCCGAGCTTCACGCCGGGAAACTCATTGCAGGCATTATTATACATCGTGGCCGCAGAGAAAAGTGAACGCCGCCGCGGTCAGCTCAGCTGCTCTTGCACAGCATCCGATCAAGATTGGACTTGCCGCTTTCCTTTTTGATATCAACCAGCTCAAACCCTCGTTTCTCGACCGTCAATCACCCTATTGGCCCGTGTTCTATGCCAGATGTAGGTAGGGAGGTAGAATTACACTAGAATTACATGGCACCGTCCAACTGATGAACGCCGGTTCCAGGGATTCCTCCGATGTACGCGCACTATATATGTGATACACCATCGTCCATGGGCCGTCTGAGAATTCCTCTCGCCGAGCTCACGGTCGATCAGCCTTATGGTATCTCAAAAAGACATACTAATCCTCAAACTATGTACAATGATTTTATATTTGATAAATACGGATAACAGAGTGTTTCTCCCTCGTTGTTGTTCGAGTTGGTTAACAACACATCAGCAAAATGGCATTTTGCTCACGATCTTTTGATCTTGTGATGGCTCGTGAAACTCGCATCCGCCAAATTCTGCTTTTTGTTTTGCTCATCTATCGGCTTGAAGAGGGCCAGAACCAGTCTGCATAGTCAAGAATCACTCTCTGGTATGCCATTTATCATTCTGTATGGTTTCCCAGCCGTTCCCACCTGGGGGAAGCCAATCAGAATGAGCTCGCGTGGAGATCATGGACATAGCGCGTGACCGTGCGTTCTCGTGGTCTTTTTGGTCTTGTGCGTGCGCGTACGAGCTCGTACAAGCTCCCACGAGCAAACTGCCGAAAACGCGATGCAGTAGCGGTCGGCCTTGATATGCTCTTGCTGTCCAAAGCAAACAAAATTAATCCGTCCACAGGATTCTGTCTTGGAAGGGTGTACATGTACTCCTTGACCAATGACTAAGTTCAATCTGAACAAACGTAGCAGCGAGAGAGAGAGCTGGAGAGAGACGAAACGGCAGAGATTGAACCACGCCCCGCGATGGAAATCCCGGTTTCAGTCTACGGAACATCGACTGCACTGATCTGCGGGGTATAAGTGAGTAACGATTGTGCTCAGTTTTTGTCGATGTCTGAGGTGTTCATTGGCGCGTAGTACCCGTCGCGTATAAGGTTTAAATCACATGGTAGCGTCACGTAAGCATGCTGCCCTTGCCTGTAACCGCGTTGCTCGTCGGCCTTGCCCCCGCCATCCATCTCGCAAGACGCGCACTCGAGATCCCCGCCTGGGCCTCTCCCTACGATGCATTTCTCCTCATCGCCGTCTGGTGGGCCGTAGTCCTCCTCGCAGAGCCGACACTCCGCTACTTTTTCCCATTCGCAACTATCACGACGCTCTTCTTTTCCTCCTGGTCTGCGCGCAGGCGTTCGTCGCCGCCACTCGCCTCGGAGCACACTCTCCAGGCTGCCGTCGCAGATCTCACCGTCATTGAGGCCCTCCTTCCTACTTTACCCGCGCTTTCCCCGAGTCTTGCCGCTCCAAAGCTGCTCCTGCGTGCATCGCTCGTGCTCTATGTCCCATATCTCATTCTCACCCATCTGGTGCGCCTAAGAGTGCTCGTGGCCATCGCTGGCACCGTCGTCCTCACCTGGCGTGCTCCGTGGGCCGTGGCACTGCGCAACACGCTCTGGCGCAGCGCCTGGTTCCGCTGGGGTGTATACCGCCTTTCCTCTGCTGTCACAGGCCAGCCCCTCCCCCTTGCGTCTCAGTCCGCTCTATCCGCCGCCGCCGTCGCCGCCCCGACCCCAACAAAATCCCTCCGCTTCCTCTTTACCGTCTACGAGAACCAGCGGTGGTGGATGGGGCTCGACTGGACCGCCGCCCTTCTCCCTGCTGAGCGGCCCTCTTGGTGCTCAAAGGCCCAGAACGCCGTCGCCCCCCCGAACGCGTTTATCCTCCCGGACATCACCACCCTTTACTTGCCCAGTCCCGACGGCAAGGGCCGCGTCAAGCGCTCCGCAACCTGGTCCTGGGAAGAGGATGAGTGGCGCGTGATGGTCCGCAAGGAGGGTGCCACGTCCCTGAGCCGCGTTGAGAGGCCGTTGCCCAGCGAGAAGGAGGAGAATCCGGGTCTGCTTATGAAAGCCGCCGTCAAGATGCGCGAGTCGAGTAATCAGCCTGCACCCCCTGCCGATGAATCAGAAGGCGACAAGGGGTCTGCCGAGTCCGAGGAGGAGGAGGAGGAGCTCATCACTGACGAAGACGGCTGGGTGTACGGCGATAACAAGTGGGAGAAGCCGAGCGCCAAGGGCGGCATGGGCAAGGTGGGTTTCTTCTTTAATGCGCGACTCTCCATTGACCGTTCCAGTACACCCGCTTCCGACGATGGACCCGCGTCGCCGTCGTTACAGAAACGGTCGAACCCGTACCCGAGGGCGAGGTCGAGCCCGCTCCTCCCGTGCGCACTGCGAGTCCAACACCCATGACTCCTGCAGAAGACAAACCGCCGCGGGACGGCAGCCCGCTCAAACAACGACTCAAAAGCGCCATGCACAAAGCCACGATATAATACTGGACTGTTTGTACCTACGACTGTAATTGTACCTATTCCAGAACATCGTCGTCGAAAATGGCCGTCAGCGGGACGCCATCTTCCCTGATGACCCCGCGGTACATTCCCGGGCAGTTCAAGGGCATCGCGACTGTGTTCTGGTCAGCTAATGTTGTTGTAGTAAATGTGCGATTTTTCGCACCATTTCCCGCACTGTCGAGCGCAATGACACCGCCAATGCCGCCGTACTGACGCAGCTCCTCGACCGCAAATTCGGTAGCCTCTTGCAATGACTCGCCGAGGTACTTGACGCGATGCGCGATGGTTACGCCGGTCGCGCAGCGAATAAAGTACTAAACAGAGTCAACATGCGGGTACAGTCGAACACAAAACAACAACGTACGTCGCCGTCGCCCGTCCCCGACATGCCCACAGCATGCCGGTTGGGGAGGCCCCAGATCTTGCCCCACGCTTTCTGCACCCACCCAGCCGCGGCGGGCCACTCTTCCGCCCAGAATCCCGAACCCATGTGCGGCGTATCGCCGACGCGTCCGACAAGCTTGTTCGTGCGCCCGCCCGTAGATGTCAGCGCCGCAATGCACCCGCGGATATCGAGTGCGACCGCGCCGACCGTACCCGTCGGGTGCAGGTCGAGCAGCGGGGGCCCCGCCTTTTCGTTCCACTCGTCGTCAGAGTCCGGGTACGGGTACGGCCCGTCGGGTAGCCCGAGTCCGCGCCGGTGCTCGAGCCAGCGCTTTTTCGTGTAAAAATACGACTCGTCGACGAGCTCTTCGTCGAGAGATTCTGCGAGTGCCTCGGTGGTTGGCCCGGAGATGAAGGTGTGTGGGAGGATGTCCGGCGCGAGGTACAGCGCGCGTGCGAGCGAGCTCGGGTTGCGGACGTGCGTGAGGAGCGTCATCCCGACACCGCGTCGTGAGGCGGGGATCTCTGGGTGCGACGCCGGCGGCTTGGATAGCATAAGAGAGGCCTCCAGTTCGTTCTGCGCGCGCCGTGAGTCAAAGCGCGGCAGGTAAATAAGGTAGGCAGTCACCTTTCCACTGGTGTTGAACACCGCACCCTTGCCTAGTACGCGTCAGGCAGGTACACACGACACCCACGAGGGCTTACCGGCATTGAACAGCGGGCAGTCTACGGCGCGTAAGCGGCAGATATGAGGGGGACGACCGTAAAACACTGCGCACCCTCCATCGAGGACACCGCGGCGGTGACCGCGTCCATGGCTTCACCTGCCGGAAATTACATGAGAGCGAGGAGAAGTACACAGTGATGTGGCCCCACCGCCCTCGCTGAGAATCTTGTAGCCCGCCTCTAGCGCGGCGCGAATTTCCGCCTTGTACGCGGCGCGCTGCTTGGGTGTGGAGCCTTCCCTGGACATGGTTCCAGCGCCGCCATGGCAGACAAGAACATAGCTGGCGTTGGCTGGAACGCGAGGAGCGGCTCTTGTCGACTTGTCGGCCATGGGGGAGAGGAAGCTTATCGCGTTGGGTATAAATAGAACAGTCGCCGCGGCAAATGCATCAATCGGCGTAGTTTGAGCTGGCTGCCCGCAAACGAGACGTGAAGCTGGGCGATTCAAGGGAACGCAAGCTGCTCGAGAGGAAATGCAGCAAAAAGGGCCCAACCACACCGGTACCTGTGCGATTAGAACACACGCGGAGATGTTGTGGGGCTTAAATAACTAGTTGGGACGAAAAGCAGCGCAAAAAGAGTGAAAACGACACCTGTGCGATTCGAACACACGCGGGTAGAACCCAATGCCTTACGTCAGCCAAAGACGTCATGGAACATTATTAGCAGGGCATCGCCTTAACCACTCGGCCAAAGTGTCAATTTCCACCCATTTACCACTAGTAGTGAATTCAATACTGGGTTAGACGCTGTTAGACGATAAATCCTTGCCTTGCCCTCCCTAGTAACGGGCCACCCTTTGTCCTGCCACGATTGATACTACCCTTGCCTTGCAACGACGGATTTCACCCTTGCTTTGCAACGACAAATTTCACCCTGACTTTGCAACGACAAATTTTACCCTGGCTTTGCAACGACGGATTTTACCCTGGCTTTGCAACGACGGATTTCACCCTGGCCGTGCAACGACGGACTCCCCCCTTGCAATGGGATGATGGATTGTGGCCACTCAAAGTGGTTGATATCATTGCAATGCTCATGTTCTCTTCCCAATGTTTTGCCTTGCAAGTTTAATTGGGAGCCGAGTCATACAATTCAAAGGAAGAGTCTAACGTGTGCCGGACACAAAAGGGTTCAGGTGAGAATCTGTGCTGAGCAATGGATGCGCACCTCTGTCGATGAATACAGCTTCACATGTAAAGAGAGCATGAATATGTCAAGGAGAGTATGTTGGAGGCGGTTCTCGTTGAGGGCTAGTCATCCTTTATTTCCCCGGACTTCAGGCAATTTGACCCAGGCTGTCATTCCTTGATGAGCGTCACGGTGTGTGGCACTACATATGGTGAAACATGAAATGAAGATCGTGGCGGCAGGATGATGTGAAGATACTCCTCCTGGTTAAGCTCGTCGCCCATAAGACCGGCAGGAGGACGGTAGCCTGTACAGGGTTGAAGATGGGCACCTCTTCCAACAAGTGTGGCTTCCGGCGATTACAAAAAGCATTGAAGGCTGGAATGGAAAGATGGCCAAGAGCGAGCGCTGTGAGACGCACGCACTCATCGGGAACTTTGCTTGGGGAAGAATGAAAAATAGCGGTTGTTAAACTGGAGTGACTAGTGCCAAATAGTGCCGTGAAATGGCGAGAGATGACGGGAAGAGAGGGGAGAGGGGCTCTGCGAACATCTATGGGAATGATGAAAACATACCGTGGCTCGCCTTCAGAGCAGGTATACCGGACCTTGGGTGAAGACAGGCTCCTCTCCAACATGGCGGGGCTTCTGACCAGCGCGCAGCCTTGAAGGTTCAAATGGCGGATAGCTTCTCCCATAACCAGGGCTCGAAGACAGCGGACGGAGTGCAAAAGAGAATGCATGGAGTCTCATGGTGGAAAGAGACAGAATGTCGCGGTCTCGAATCCTTGAACACGAATGAGGTGCGTTTCTCGCTGAGAGGAAGAAGCGTGGATAGAGGAACGGAAGTCTAAGAACATGTAATTTTCGGTGGCTAGGTCGGCAGTAGAATGCATGAAAATGAGTGAGGATACCCTGGATTCAAGTACCGGAAAGGCGCTGAGGCCGTGGAATACGCGACCTCGAACGAGGAAACATTGCAAACGGTGGTGGTGGTTGGGGAAGAGACGCGAACCCCACGTGCCGGTCAAAGCGAAGATTACCATGTCACTCTCATTCAGCCTCACGCCCAGCTCGTGTTTTGGGCCGCGCACAGGCACCCTTACCCTGCGTCGGCATGGCACGAATATTGTTTTGAGCACGCCTGGGCTCATGGCCGCGACGTCGCGCGGGGTGGTTCCGCATCTGTCGCGCGACCAGTACGCTCGCTCGGTCGCGCTGCGCTGGATACATCTTCCTTTTGAATCCTTGTGCGTGGGTGCCTAGTTTCACGACCTCCAGCTCATCCTGCTGCTCTCAGTTTAGAGATCTCCCCGCCGGTGCCTACTCTCCAGCCAGGACCTCTCCCGTTGCACACATTTCTCGGCTACAACCCCAGCCAGCATCTCATCTGCCTTACCTTGCGCGACCCCTCCAATAATCGCGAGCTGCCTGCGAATGGGAATGACTATGTCGCCGCGTCCACCTCGCGCGGAGTCCGGAAGGTGCATCTTGTGAAAATCGCAAGCCATCTCTTGCTCATCGCACAGTCACCAGATCACCTCGGCGCAGTGGCGAGAATATGCGCGCGCATGTGCACCGGATATCGTTGTTGCGATGTCCGATATCCCGTGGACACCTCCACCGTTCTCGCAAAAGCGAACGACAAAGAGCATCGAACGCACCGCTGCCTGGCTCGGCCATCTCCTTGCTCATGGTCCGCCGCCGTTGAACGTTCTCGTCCACATGGCGGGGGGGATCAGCGAGCCCGCCCGCCGTGCATTCACGGACAGTCTGACAGAGACGCTACATGGCAAGGAGGCCGAGGCTATTGCCCCGCACAAGTGTCTCGACGACGGCGTCGCGGGCTACATCTTTGACCTCCTCCCGTTACGGCATGCGATGGACGCGTCCTCAGATATTACGCTCGTCACGCAGCAAGAAGCAACGGTTGCCTTATTCAAGGCCTCACTCGAGGCTGCCGCGCCCTCAAAGCTGCGCGTCGTCAACTCCGTCGCGTCACCGCACGAGATACTCCGCCTCATACGGAGCGTCGGTATCGATGTGTTCGATGCCCATTGGGCGCAGGACGCGGCGCATGTTGGTGTTGCGCTGGACTTTGTTTTTCCTATCCAAAGACGCGATTCAAGTGGGAAACGACGCGACTTGGGTCACAACCTGTACCATACGCAGTATGCGCACGACTTCTCGTCGTTTACGAGATCGACCTGCCCGTGTGGCGCGTGCTCACCTGTGGCTTCGCCGACCGCCCTCACGCACAGCGTGCTCGACACTTACACCCCTACGGCATCTCCCCCATCGTACTCGCGCGCCTATGTGCACCACCTGTTGCACACGCACGAAATGTCCGCGCATGCACTACTGGTGATGCACAATCTCGCGGTATTGGACGCGTTCTTTACGTCTGTGCGCGATGTTCTGCAGCGCGGAGCAGATTTTGGCGCCCATGTAGATGAATTCCTCGCCGAATACGACGAGTCGCTGGCCGTTGTGGCGGAGGCGAGTACTACATGGAAGAACGTCGACGTTGCGCGGGGAAAGGGTCGGCTTGCAAGGGAACGCGCAGGCGCGAATGAATAGAAAGCGAGTACTATGTATACTGTATCGACCAAATAATGTAGATTTTTGTTTTACTCAACACCATTGTGACTTGTTTCTTCCTCCATGTCTCTGGTCAAGACAAAGCTCAAAGCTGCTCGTGAGGCGCTGGGCAAGAAACAGTACGCTGCTGCCAAGGATGCCGCCGAGCAGGCCCTCGCGTTCGACCCTACCAACTATAACGCGTGTGTGCAGTGAGCCTCGCGCACTCATGAACTAAAATTGCGATCAGAAATGTCTTTGTCGGCCTCGCGCTGCTGGAGCTTGGTGACTTTACGGAGAGCGAGCAAGTGATTGGTATTGAGCTCATTCGCGGACGTGACTGACGCGGCGTGCGCACAAAGGCATACCGAAGAGCAATCGATGCGAGTCCGGACCAACTGCTCGCCTGGCAGGTATGCGAGAAACCCTCGTGTCCTGACGGCATCTCACTCACTGTACAGGGCATTTCCAAATTCTACGAGCGCACTGAGCAGTGGGACAAGTACGCCGATACCACTCGACATCTGTTGGATTTGTTCGCGCAGCTGTAGGCCTCGTCTGCCATCCAGAACCTCCCTCATCCAAATCTCCCAGAAATGACTCGGCAAAATGTGTAGAGACCCTCGAGAAGTTCATCGAGTGTCGTCGAACAAGAGGAAGTCATACACAAGTAGGCGCGCGCAGAACTTCCGGCTCGCAAACTAACATGCGCCTAGCTAATCGAAGCCTTGTCGCTCCTGCTTCCCGATTCCTCTATATACGCTGTTCTGTCGACCCTCCCGGTACCAGACCATACCAATCCATCCGCCACACCCGCTTACGCGACGCAATCGGCGGTGCACAACACCCTTTCGATCCTCGAGGAGATCGTCGGCATCATAGAGCATGACGAGGATGACGCGTACACCAAGGAAGTCGCGAGGCGCCGTACGCGTCTCGGTGCTGCCAGCCCCGAGCAGCTCCGGAAAGAAGTTGGCGTGGAGATATGGGGCCCGTCGCAGGCGCGTCGACACATTCTACCACATTTATCCACAATCTAACAGCTCTGCAGCTGCCAAAGTACTACGATGACGTCCTCAACCACCCCAACACGTCCGACGACCTGCGGCGCGCGACCGATGCGAAACTCCTGAGATACAAGCATCGCTACATGTGCGCCCTGCCACTCGGAGGGAACGACAAGCTCACAGTGTCGCGCGAGGTCGACGGATTAGTGGATGGAGCGATCACTCTCGGCCTTCCGGACGAGTTAGCGTGGATGCTTTGTCTCGACGGGCAAGATTGTGCTGACATGGGTTCGCCTTTTCCCTCACGCACGCCATGGTTGCTCATCGTTCATAAGATGAATACAATGTTCCCCTTCTCAGACAATTCATGGATCTGTTCCCGTCGTTGCCTCTCACATCTTTATTGCGGGCGTACTTTCTGTATATGGATATTCCCCCGGTTGAAGAGGAAGAGGACGAGACGCCACAACCAACGGTGGAGCAAACTGGTGATCCATTCGACGCGATGTTGGTCGGTAGTTTGTACATTCTTGCGGCGCACTATTTACTTTGCATTGCAGGATGCATATTCGTCCATATCGGGCTCTGTCATCGCTACCCAGATATTAGCAGCAGTTTATCTGCACGAATGCGATTACCAGAACTCCATCGTCGTGGCTGAGAACGGGCTCGGTCTCGTTTCACGAGCAGAAGCTGACCGGGGGAAATTGTTCCCGAGGTATGTGACGGAATTCAACACGCATCTCTTTTGCCAACTATCCATTCTAGCACCCGCCTCGGCTTCAAGGTCGTGTTAGCGACGTCACTGGTCCATCTGTTTCCCCCAAAACACCATGCCCGCGCTCTCTCCGTCATCGATGAGGTCCTGTCGCAAGCACCGAGCAATACTGCTGCTCTTATGGGTCGCGCGTACATTCTACAGCACGACAAGCGGTGGATCGATGCCGCAGAATTATTCGCCCGCGTCGCCGATCTACTCCCGG